CCGCGGGGGCCGCCCAACCTGTTACCCCTCCTAAGGCCGCGCCTAAGGCCAAAGGGCGTGCTTCAGGGGCTCCTAAGACTTCGATCTTTCCAGCGAAGCCCAAGGAGTATCCTAGGCGCAACATCCCTGGCCCCAATGCCCTCGAGGCCAAAGACTCGCTCGAGGAAGAGGCAGCCCAAGAAGCTGAAGGTGTCGAGGAAGATAGTTCCAGCTCGGATCTTCCCGACACGCGGGCGCCCCAAGCCGCGGTCAAGGTGAAGGAGGACGAAGAGCCCGCTGGTGGGGCCCAGGCCGGGAGCATAGAGGAAGGAGTCCTCGAACTTGGCCAATCGGTGGTCAGCGCCGCGAAGGAGTACCTCGCGCGGTCCGAAGCTCTTCTGAGAGCGCAGAAACTCCAGTCGAAAATACTGGAGGTGGCGGGAACCGCGATGGTGAAGTTAGAAAAGATCACCAAGCGTGAGGAGTCCCTCAAAACTCTGCGCCGTGGGGGAGAGAATCAGGCGGCCGGGGAAGGCGCCGACGGGGAAGAGGTGTCTGACGATGGTCAGGATGCCCCCGGGGGTGCGGGATCGAGCAGTTCCGCCATGCCTTCGAGAGGCGGGACCGTCCGGTCCGCCCCGGCCCCAGAGGTGCCTCGCCCTAATGCTGACGGCCACTATGGATGCTCAGCTCCTGGATGCGGGCTGGCCTTTGAGTCGCTGGTGCAATACCACTTGCATCAGGCGGCCTGCCATGGCGCCTCTCTTCCGCCCAACCTGGGGATCAGCCCCTCCGCACCTCTTGACCCTTTTCGTCAAGACTGGCGGGGACGGTTGTTCCGCCGAGGAAAGGACGGTGGGTATGGGGAGGTGCCCATGCTCCGAGTGATTCGGTACCACAAAGCCAACGGGTACGATCACTCGAAGGTCCCGCTCCTGAAGAGAGGGGACCGAATCCAGCTTGAGGACGGATCGCACCACATTTATGGTGGTAGTCATCCACCGGGGTGGCTTCGCGATGACCCCGAGCTGGATCCCGCTCCAGAGAGTAGCGGTGGAGGGTCCACGCCCAAGAGCGAGCCCACGGAGGAGGCCGAGCATGGACCTCCGCGGGAGGCCGCTCCGCGCGGGCGGGCCCTCGAGCCGCCGACGAGCGACGTTCAGCAACGCCTTGCAGAGCGTCGTCGTTCCAAGCGGGATTACTCGCCAGACCTGGTGACGCCTCTTGACGATCTCCATGCCCAGGAGATCGATTCCTTCTTCGCGGGCGACCCAGCCGCGGATAGCCTTGACGTCATTTTGATGCGCGCCGAGGTTCGCACTGAGTCCCACCTCAACGTTGGCCGGGAGCAAGAAGAGCCCCTGGTCAAGGAGGAACAGGAGGAGGAAGCTGAGGTTGTCAAGGACGAGGAGGTCTCGGTTGAGATGGAGGCAGGCACCGCGGATGAGGCGGACGATGTCGCCCTCCCAGCCAACCGAGCCTACGTCGAAGGCCGCTTTTACCCCTACGGCAGCTGGCGGTGCTTCTTCTGCGAAGCCATCAACCCGGTTACCGAGGACCAGTGCCTCACCACGCACGCGGGCGGCCCGAAAGCGGGCGCCCCGTGCGACGGCCGATGGATCAACGGGATCGACATCGGGTGGTGGGAGGTAGACCCTCAAACCGCGCCCGAGCAATGGAGGCGGAGGTTTTCTGCCGAAGCGCTTGAAGACCAACAAGCGCGGGCGGATGCCGCGAGGCTTCTCAGCGACGAGGAACTCGCTGAAGCCCTCCAGGCGGCCGAGGAGGCGCAGGCGGCCGAGCGCGCCAAGAAGCGAGAGCGGCGCCAGGCGGAGAAGGCGGAGCGCGATGATCACATCAACGAAGCGCTCCGCATTGCAGGGTGGCAGTGCCCTAACTGCTATGAATGGAATCTTTCATTCAGGCAGCTGTGCTTTCGCTGCAGCACCCCTCTCCGTTTGGCAGAGGTCGTCTCTCGCGGGATCCCTGATCCGCGGCGTGGCGAAGAGAGGGACTCTGGCTCCGAAAGCAGCCAGGACGAGCTGGAGCACGAGATCCTTCTGGCCAATCTTGCGATGGACCAAGAAACCATCCAACCTCTTCTTAGAAACAAACACAAGAAGAGGGGCGGTAAGCGACGTCGCGAAGAAGCGACGTACGGCAAGGGCCGCGACCCTTGGAGTGCTTGGGCAGATGCCCGTGGCAAGGGCCAGGGCAAGCCGAAGGGCAGAGGCAAGTCCGATGCCAAGGGCAAGCCCAAGGGGAGGGGCAGGTACGCCTGGGGCGCTTACGCCGCGGGCATACTTGCCGCGCTCCAACCCCGCCCAAGCACAAGCTGGGTCCCAGCCGTCCCGTGCGGGTCGGCCCGGCCGCCGCCAAGTGTTCCGCTTCCGCCGCGGACCCCCTTTTTCCTGGGTCGCGGGCTCCTCAATCGGTTGATGCACGCCCTCAACGGGAACATCAACGGCTGGTGGGGCCTGGCGGCTGCAGCGTCGGCGCCGATTGCCTTGCAGTTGCACCGCGGGGCTGTGCATGTTGTCGAGGACTCCATGCACGCGGTTGCAACAATTTCGGCCGACGTGGTCGAGGAAATCGGTCATGGGGCCAGGCGGACAGTGTGGGTCGCCGGAACAGCCATCACTCTGGTAGTAGTGATCTTGTGCAGCGCTGTTCTGTGGTACGTGAGTCGTGCCGTTGCCAATCGCATTGCGCATCTGCGACATGGCAACACCGCGGCCCCTGAGGCGCGGCTGTCTCGACTCCTTGGCTCTGAAGCGACGTTTGAGGTCGCGAGCACTAAGAAAGGGGTGACCCATAAAGTTTGGGTGCACCTCAAGGAGGAGACAGCTGCCTGTGGCTGTCGTGCTTACCTAGCAGAGGGACGTTGCGGGCATTGCGATGCCGCAATGGACACCGCTCGATCCCTAGGGTTTTTGCACGCGGCCCAGCGAGGCGCGGGTCCTGCGCTCACGGACTCCATTCGGAGTACCGCCTCCGAAGCCCTGGCTAAGGGTAAGGTTGTGTTGGGTTTGGGGAACAGTGATGAAGGATGTTTCTCCCAACTTGCGGCCAAGAGCCGCGGGCTCTCCTGCTTTCAGGGGCTCGCGGGTCGTGACCTGGCCGCGGCCCCAGCAGATGGAGCGAGCGCAGCCCACGCACAGTCCGGCTTCGTGCAACGTGCCGCCACTGCCACTGTGGCGCGCACACCCAGCCGGAGGAACAAGGGCCCAGTCCCCGCTAGGAGATCTCCAGTCAAAGAAGCGGAATTCCTTGCGGGCGGGCCATACGTTCAAGCCGCCCAAACGCTGCTTGGGTCTGGAGCAGCAGAGGATGTGATCTACCTCCGGGCGTACAGCTTAGATTGCCCATCCTGCATCGAGGCAATCGAAGCGTCGCTTAGCAAGGGCGCAGGCGTTCGGATTGTCGCCGACATAGGACAATGCCACCGCACCAAACTTCAGTGGCAAGCGTTGAAACGCTTGGCGGCTGCAGGCGCCGAGGTGAAGGTGGGTTGCGGCTCATCCGTGCGCGACGCCTATGCTCGCGACGGCCGCGGGGCTAAAGTAGGTACCGGTATCCAAGGGCTTCACCATGCCAAGGCCCTTTGCCTACTGCGGCCTGATGGCGCGGTGGTGCTGATTGGGAGCCTCAATTTTACCACAAGCAGCAAAGCCAATGCGGAGGCAGGGCTTAGGCTTGAGGTCGCCAAGACGCACCCGGTCGCGCAGTCCTATATCGAGGATTTCCAGAGGGTGTCGGCTGAGGCATTCTCCCTCGATGAGGCGGTCGCAAGGCGCCCTCAGTTGGAGCGAGCCAGTAGCTCCAACGTTGCTGGCAACGCCACTCGTGCCCCCAACACTGCTCCACAGGGTATCGAGTAGGCTGCGGCCAGTCGGCGCGGCGTGGTAAGCATCCACGCATTATCAGAGCAGGCGTTGCAGCACGGCACGTTGCTTCGCCAACCTTTTGCATTTACTTTTGCTTGACTGCGGGCGAAAAGCCGCGGCAGGTTGGAAACCTGCCCATTTTGCATTCCCCGCACCTTTCTCCTCCGCCCTGCCTGTGGCCCCTCGTGCTGAGGGTGCTCTTTTGCAGGTGCTGCGGACCGTGTCCTGGTCGCGGCAATGCGCTCGCCGAAGCGCGTGTGAGCTGCATTGCCTGCGGCACAAGCCATGTGCGCGGCTCTCGCTGAGTCTGGTAGCCCGTAGGGTAGTTCCGGATAGGTGAGTAGCCGTAGCCGTAGCTTAGGACCGGCCGTGTACAGTGTACCATCTGTACCATAGATTTCAGTGTCTGCCGTAGCAGTCCTCAAGGCACTCAGTGGGCTCTGTGTACTGGAGCCTCGACTCAGGTCATGCAAAAGACCGGTCCGCCTGGTTTAGGCTGGTTTTGGAGGGTCGCTCGTTTGGGTCGTCTCGTTTCGCGTGTCTTCGTTTGCGGGCTTGCGCCCAAAGCCGCGACGGACGCCCGCCCTCCTTGTGGAAGTCACTCACCGGAGCCTCGGCTGAGGGGCGAATGTGAGCTGACATGAGTGCATATGCATCTTCTGCTCTGTGATGCATTAGGACTCGGCAGACCACCTTGTAGTTTTCCTTTGCATGTAGAGTTTTGCAATTCGTAACAATGCCAATATTTTGGCTCAAGTACCGAGCTTGTGCCTTTGAGCACGGTAGAGTCGTACAGTAGCTCCTAGGTTGCTGTGCGGTCCGACCGGACGCACTCAGGCGTAGCTGCACAAGTGCTTGGACTCACGAAGTCGTAAAACAGCGTGACCGGGCTGTGATTGCATTGGCTTAGTGCAAGTCCAGTGCTGGTCGACTTCACAAAATATAAGTATAAATATAAATATAAATGTAAATACAAACAAATAAATAAATAAAGATATATATATATATATAATTATATATATGTATATTTATATATATGTATATATATATATATATATATATATATTCCAGATATACGCATACCTACATATACTAGTCACCAGAAGTGAGCAGCCGAGATGGAGTCCCTCCGCGATGCGGGCCGCCGACTCCACGAGCACGGGGCTTGGGAAATGGGATTAGGCTCGCCTTCCTCTTCCCGAACCATCGCCGTTCGCCGAGGGCTTTTTTTGGGGGGGTTTTTTTTTTGGGGGGGGGGGGGTTTTGGGGGGGTTTGGGGGGTTTTTGGGGGTTTAGGGCTGGGAAGATTGGCAAGATTTGGGTGCCGAATGAACCCTATCCGAAGCCTCAACAGTTGAAGGATCCTTGGATGGGGTCACGAATGTGTTTTTCGTTTGGTTCTGCTGAGCCTTGTCTCAGGCAAGGCTTCCGTTTAATCACTGCGGCCGGCAGCTCAGATTCTCGTTGGGGCTGCGTGCAAACATGCGAAAGGCCGCAACATCTGAAGCTCCCAAAAGTCACGGGAAGCCGCAAGAAGCCGCTGCCAGGAGCCCGTAGCCGAGGGCCGGCCCGGTGACCGGGCGCGGCCCTGCTTCGACGAGCTGCGGCAGATGCGGCCCCTCATCATCCACCTGGGCTGGGAGCCCTTGACTCTCTAAAGGGTGGCTGGTGGGTGACAGTGGGTGTAAGATGTAAGGCTTCGAGAGGGGAACAAAAGGATTCCAACCCCCGAGGCACCCACTACTTCCTGCTGGACTCGGTGGATGAACTGCCTGCGTCCCTCAGCCTCGAGGAGGCTGGCGGCTACCACCGTTTTGTCAGACGGAACTCACAAAACGGGCGCTGCCTACCCCCCCGCCACACTCTGCTCAGGGCAGCATCGCCTCCTCAAGAAGCCGGGAGCTTACACGATCTTTCCGTCTGGTCAATGTCTTGAGCCCGCAACCCCCCCCCCCCCAAACAGCGCCGAAGCCCGAGAGGCCTAAGAAAGCCCCCCAAGGTTTCCTTGACAAGTGCGGCCGGTGCTTCTTCCGCTGCCTTGATCGCTGGTCCACGAGCCGCTCCTTTTCCAGCGAGGCCGCCTTGAGCACCCTCTAAGGGTCCTGTGGGTCTAGTGAGAATGATTAGAAGATAGATATTGGTTAGGTAGCTATGGTAGCTCGACAAAGATGTCATATGTACACAGAAAAAATATATGTATATATTGTTTTCATGTCAGTATATGTATATGCATGTATAGGTGTTCGGCCGTTTTATTCAGCAAGCAAGAACATGAACGAACCATGCTAAACATGTTGTCGGTTCAGGCTCTAGTCATGAAGGCAATGGCCTCTCGGCATGTGCGTGTGAAGGCCCGGGCGCCCCTACGACAGCAATAGGAGCGACGTGTGGAACAATCCATCCCCTGCCAGTGCCCCAGCTACTCAAGCACACGTGTCGAGTTGTTTGGGGTTGTGGATGTCAACAGCCAGCTCCAGTGCACGCTCTGTGAGGTGCAGAGCGCATGCACTCATTTAGCTACTGCATGCCCGGAATGGGCCAATGCAATTTCGCAATGCAGAGCAGGTATCGTCGCGATCGTTTCACAGAAGATTTGATAATCCCTGCCACAAAGTGAGCACATGCTCTGCCTGACGTGGAGCATGTTGGGCAGGTTGCGACAGACAATCCGCCAGCCAAACGAGCTGCACAAAGAAGCTTAAAATTGTCGCAAGCATCTGTGCTTGTCTAGACAGCCAAGGAAAATGTGGCACAAGGTTTACGCAGCGCAGCAAGTCAGCCCTTCACAGATTGCCCTGGCATTTTCGGCTTCTGACTCGCTGTGCATGTGGCAGCAACCAGGTTGAACTGCAAGTCCGGCGAAGGATCGTGAATTCCCAAAACTCCTCACTCAAAACCCTACCCTACCCTACCAAACCCTGCACTAACCTACACCCCACTGATTCTTAGAGCACAGAGAACTTTCCAGGGCGACAGTTCTGAGAGCCTGCGCGCCATGGCAGTCGCCAGCTGCAGATGGAGCCACACCCAGTTGTCCTGCCAATTCTGAATGTTCCTAGGTCACGAGGCGAAAGGATCCACAGAGAGAAGCCCAGCACGCGAACACCACTTGACTTGACATGCGCAAGCGGTTCCCGCACCGAACCACCATGACAGGGTTGTGGGTTTGGAAGGCCACGGTCTCGGGGTCAAGGAGGGGGGTTTGGGCGTCGAGGGGGGTTGGCTCCGTTGTTGGATGTGTCTTCTGCAGCACCCAAGGCCTTTGCTTGTTTCCTTCAAGCCTACTAGCGAAACTTTCCGACGGCGTGATAACACAACACAATATTTCCTGCACGGGTTTCCACTGGCCAGGCCCGGAGCCGGCTTGGAAAACCGGAAACAGTACTTCGAGGGTTTGAGCTACTGCTGCCAAGTGCCCAGGTAAAAACCTCGTCCCTAGGCCAAGGGCGGAGCGAAACTCTGTTTTTGTGCTTCTTTTGCATGAAGAGGTTGCCGGAATGCCGCTGCTTGCATTCCGTCACCACTTGTGGGAGGCACCCGCAGCCAACGAAAGCCTCGGCAGCGAGGATCCATCGAAACAGGCTCGGGTGTGTGGTGTGGTGCACGAGCAGTTCTCTCGTTGTTGGGGCCTTTTTTTTTGCATGGGGCCTTGAATTCTTAATTGGGGTACTTCCGAAGGGACCACAATCGAATCGCAGTGCCCACCCGTCTGCGTTGCAGTCTCCAGGTGGAGGGGATGCGCCGAAGAGCTGCAACGTGTGCCGAAAGCAGCTGTGCCTCCGCTTACATATCCTATGGAGCTCGGGGGAACCAAGTATATTTCCCCTTCGCCAGCCGAGGTGCTGGCTCACGTCCGTGGGCGCAGTGGGCATATGGCTGGGAGCTGGAATTTTGCGAAGACTGACCCAATTCCCGTCATCTTGACCTTTGTCCCCAGGTCAATATTGCTTTTTTCAACATGGCGGGAGTTGGTGCAGGCCCAGGGGCACGGGCATGCCACGAACATGGAGGCTTTTGACCTCCTTGGTGTATGCATTGTCTCGAGGATGGACCAAAGACGTCCGCTGAAGTCCAACCCAGCGCGGGAGACTTAAGCTTCAGTTTGTTTAAGCTCTGATGGTTGCGAGGCCTGGTTGGGATTTCATCCTGCAATCGAGGTCATCGGAACCTTGCAAAGCAGGGTCATTACACTGGAAAGAGAGCTATCGCGAGCACACGAGGCGGGAGAGCACATGAAGGCACTCCGCCTGCGTCAGAGAAGTGAGAATGTGCAGGAAATTGCTGAGAGGGACAGGCTATTGGCCCGCAGCCAAGTCATGAGCACGCCTGTGAAGAAAGACTTGTCATAGCTCGCAGCCGCTGCGCCGTGAACCTCAATGCCCGTATCCCTGACGGTGAGATGGATTGATGTTTTGCAGACTGCGCGTGCAGACCTCCAGCTTGAAACTATACGTTCAGCCTGTCAGGGGGAAGCAGTGTCAGCATTCTATCGCATGTTCGTGCATGAGGCGGATTTGCAGCAAAGGGTGCGCGGTGATGCTCGGGACAGTCAGCTGGTCCCGGCTGTAACTCCTGACCAGCTTGACCCCCAGCCTTTCCCAGGCCTTCGGTTGGGAGCTTGCCCTCGTGATGTTGCAGCGGTTTCTCATGCCGTCTGATGCCGTGCAACCCCGTCTAACATTGTAACGTTGCAGTCAAGAATCATAAGCCTCTCCGGGCTCAGGATCGCAAAGGCGGGCGCCTTGGGCGTGCCTGGTGCCTAGCATCAGGTCAGGTCTGGCGCCCCGTCCCCACTTCTCGCTCGCACGCGCGCGGGCAATCCAGGCCAGAAGCCCCGAAATCGCCGCCGGCGACGTCGGTGCCGGCGCCGGAGCCGCAGCTGCGCGGCTCTACCAGCTGCGACTTCCAGCAGGATGTGGACTACTTCCTGTTAGCAGGTGCCCTGATGCGAAAAGACTCACCACGCCCCGTCACAGAGGCGGCACAATAATCTTCGCGCCAGGAAAAGGGAAGGAGGAGATGGTCAAGGCCAACTCAAACAAGGCACCCCCTTTGGCCCTTGCCATCTTCTACATGATTTGAAAAAGGGTCTCCCTGCACACTTCGGTGTTGCGTGGCGCACATGCTGAGCAGGCAGAGTGCTGCCAACTCTGCGTGGGCAAGAACCGGCAGGTTCTGGTCAGCCCGGCCAAGCTTTCTGCCGCCAGTTTGTAAAATTCTTGGTCTCCTCCTGAGCTGAGAGGGCTCCTGCACTGTGGCGGTCCTGAGCTCGCCCTCGGACTCTCCGCCTTCGGGATGCTGGATCAAGGCGCAGGGATGGGAGGTTAGTCATGAAAAGTTCCAGCGTGCTCCCGGCAGGCTGCCAGCTCCATGACGGCACTCAAGCCCAACGTAAAACCTGGCGCCTCGCCCTCACGCCGCCCCCTTCTTTGGGTTCTCTGATTTTTGGGGGGAAGTTCGGTCGACACCTGAGCCCTTTCTGTTGAGTCTGTTGAGTGAGGTCACGGCGTGCTTTCCGCCCGGGCATGGCGCGCTGCCCGTAGCGCCGACAGCGCCACCATTGGCCCAACCCTGAAGTGTGCAACACCCTTCTGCGGGCGCAGAGAGCAGAGAGATGTGAGGAGATGCGAAGATATTCGTGAAGAGAGGGCTTCGGGCCAATTCGTGGCTTTTGCCCAAAATGAGCCTCAAGGACAGCAGAGCGGTGTCTGAGCACGATAAAAGCCAAAGCCTCAGAACACAGCTGCCACAAATCTAGCGGGGGAGGGGAGGGGAGTCCGGGAGGGCCATTGCCAGGTCTGGCTCTCCTGATTTCTTCTGCCGCGACCTCATCCACGACACTTGGCGCCATCGCATGAAAGCATGACACATATCCACGTTGATTCTGGCAGGCCACCACCCAGCAAATGCGGGCCAACGCAGTTCGGGATGCGTCCGAGCCCTCCTTCGCAGCTTGCGCCGGGCTCGTGCCACTTCCTTCTCCTTCTGAAAGCTCAGGATCCGCCATGCCTGGACGTGCTACAAGACCTACGCTTGGGGCAACGACGAGCTGCTGCCCATAGCGGGCAAGCTCGGCCCTCATCTGCCCCCTCTGCCCCCGTAGAGGTCCTCAGCACCTCAACCATCCTCAAACCCGAAAAAACATCCCACAGACAGACATGCCTTACCTCAGACGCTGTGCAGGGGTCGAAACCGTGGCTTCAACATGGCTGTGACTATGGTGGACTCGCTGGACACGTGGGCGCCTCAGTGGAAGTGGGAAGTGGGACGTGACGACACATGGCTGATGCCGATGTCTCGACATGTTTAGGCTTTTATAGGGTTTCAAGAGCATCCTACAGGACGTTGCCCTTAATGCTGTGTGTGGGTTGTCTTTCGGATGCTGCACATTTAGCGTGTGCAAGTTTGTTGTTTGATCGCGAGAACCGGTGCACGAATACTTTCCTGCAGTCCCACACGTCCTGGAATTGGTGCCGTTTACGGTGTCCCAGGCTCTGGCTGGCCGGCTTGAAAGATGAGTTCAACGATGCCAAAGACTGGCTCGCCTTGTCCCCGGCCGTTTGTTGCCCCCTTGTGGCCAACTCCACCAGTTCAGCAGGCAGCCCACCTCCACAACAAGATCAATGCGATCGGCCAGAGCCGAAGCACTTGTGTCGGATGCCGTGGCTTTGGGCGAAAGTCAATCAGGCAAGACGGTCTCAGTCTTCGAGACTACAATCCGTGTGCTTGCACCCCAGAGCACATGAAACATGGGCGCTGAAAGGGGAGCTGTTCTCCAAGCGATTGCTCAACAGTTCTGGGTCTGGGCGGGGGTGGTGGGGGCTTGGGGGCGGGTGGTGGAGAGCTTGGGGGGGCACGCTGGGCACAGCTATGTACACGACGTCCTTAAACCTCGAGCAGCAGACGTTGCAATGAAGCTTGGCCGACAGAAGACGACTTGGTCCGAGCAAGAGGGGATTTCAATGTGTCGCAGGCAATTCAAGCTATGCTCTCCAATCAAAGCGAGTGGACAGATGCTCAGGACACAGATCCGATGCTAGTGTGGGGGTCATTGATTTCTCATTTGAGCCCAGACTCGGTCAGTAACATCTCGGAGGGCGTGTTGGCTGGCATGCGGAAGAATGAGTCGCTAGAGCAGCTGTTGAAGCTTGTTTCCACATAATAGCACAGAGGAGATCAGTGTGGAAATGCAGGCAGCCCAAGAGAAGGAGGACGCCGTGGTCGCCATAAGATGGCTCCCGACACCGAAGCGACATTTACAGATCTGATCTCGGAGCAGAGCGAGACGGTCGCGGAACAGAACAGAGTAAGACAAGCTGCAAGCAAGCGCAGCTCCAAAACAGCGCCAACGGAGATAGTTCTACAGACATGCTTCGACCATGCGCAGCACGAGGTTCTCATCCGTCCTATTGTAACCAGCCCACCTGCCCCAAAAAGGAAAAGTAAATGCTTGCAATAAAATGGGAATGTTCAGTCTAGAGGCACATGATTAGAGGGATGGAGTGGTTGGTCAAGAACAAGCTGGATCTTTGGATTCCACACATTCCTGCACTGGCTTGGTGTGAAGGAATTGGCCACTTCCCCTTCGCCAGCAATTGCTCGAATCATGGCCATGGTTTGCTGCTTTGAGGTTGGGAGGCCTCCTATCTGCGTACGACCTATCAAAGGACGCTCCAGGGGTCGAAATTGTCAAGATTTCAGCATCGGCATGGTGGCTGGTGGACAGGAGAGCGCTCTCCTGGATCTGTCCGTTAAGCTGGGCCGCAAACTTGGAGGTTGTCATGCGAGCAGCGTGCAGTCTTGCTTGTTCCGCAAGACATGTCAAGCTCGGCTGAGGGCAGAAGATTCTGAACGTGGTGACCGCCAGAGGAGAGCGGCTCGCAGGGAGGCACAGTGAGAAAGGAGTCATAAGAGGATGCGGGCCGGGAAGGAGTCACTCCCTACACTTTCGCCGGTGGGCGTGGAGGTCCGGGGGCCCGACTTCAAAGGGAGATTCCCCTTTTTTGAAACCATAGCATTGCCACGAGACTGCCACAGGTAGCTCCTGCCCAAGCCTGGCGGAGTCCGGAACGCTTCAGATCCGCCCTCAGAAGAGTCTCAGACACTCCCTTCTTCCTTGTGGGTCCTCGCGCAGCAAAGTGGATCGTATGTGGAAGGCTGGAAATGCGATACTTGTCCCATGTGTCTGGCGATGAAATCTTCGCTGCGAAGACCATGAAGTTTTACGCCTCAGCCTTGGAGCCCTTCTTTTGTACGTCTTGTGTTCCTTTTTTTGCGTGTCTTCGCACGCCCCCCCGCTTGTGAGGAGACCGTCCAAGGCTTCAAATCCTTGGATGGGTCGGAGCCTCGGGAGGTCTCCCCGAGAAGATTTGTGGGGGGCGCCTGGTTTCGGTGCCTCCTTTTGGTGAGACCGTGTGCGGTTTTTGCGCGGCGCATGGAAGATGGCATTCAGGATGATCATAGTGGCCTTCGGACTTCCCTTCGGATTTTTTCGTTGCGCCGTCAGGCTGTGGCCCAACTGCTTCGAGCGAGGCAGAGGGAAAATCACACTCGGCAGCTCGGGCGCAACGTGCTGAAAGTGGGAGCCCGCTCGAGATCCGAAGCTGGTGCGCGCAAAGGTGCGGATGGCGACTCCTTCTACGAGTACCTGTTGAAGGCTCTCGTCGTCGTAGTCATCGTAGTCTTCGACAGCGCGGCATCCCTGATGACGATCAGGTTTGGATACAGGGCGGAAAGCGGAAGGAGGAGGACTACTTGAAAGGCCCGCGTCTGAAGAGCGGTGGTCTGATTCGTTTGACTGTGAGAAAAACAGTCGCAGATCCCAAAGTGACTGTATAGGAATGTACGACAAAGCTGTGGATGGGATGGAGAAGCACATGGTGAAGAAGGGTGCCGTGCCTCGTCTGCGATTGGGTTTAAAGGGAGAAAGATACTCATAGAAGAGACGGTTGTCATGGGTTCCTCCGAAGGACGGCCTGACATACCTGGGCACGGCCACCTGGGACGCGCACAGCGTCAGCTACGTGCCGGACAGAACCCTCCCCCCCGGTGGCGGGCCATGTCACATGCGTGGTGCCTTCAGGAGATGGAGCATCTGACCTGCTTCGTGCCGGGTTGGATCGCCCTGGGAGCGCAGCAGCAAGCAGACGATGTCAGGTGGGCTTTCAGCTGCGCCATGCGCTTGCTCAAGTTGACATGTGCAACGGCACGACTGAAGGCAGCGTCGAATGAAACTTGCAGACGACATTGTCCCCCGGCTGTGGCTTCTCATAGTGAAAAACTGTGCACCCTGGCCCAACACGATGCGTACTGAGGCCTACACCTGCTGGCAGATGTACGAGAAGCAACCAACAGGCCCTGGAGTGATTGGCCTCAGCAGGTCCCGGTGTCCATCTCCCTGCAAGGTATTGCTCCGGAAAGGGTCAAAGGTGAGGCCATGGACCTTTCCAAGACCAACACGAAGGAGTGCCCCGGATGATACTGCACCTCCTTTCCTTGGAACATTCCTTTCGGGTGTCTCAAAGCCAGGGTTCTAATTTCTGAGGGGAGTTCCAAGAGCTCCAGGTACATCCTTAGACCGGAGGCAGCTGAAGGCCTGTGCCTGAGTGTTTCTTTTACAAGTTCTTGTGCCAAGACAGTCGCCAGGCTGGTGGTACATGTGGGAGCTGACTCAGGCGAGCCTGGTGCGAAGCATGTGTCATGGACTGGTCGAGTTGGTAGAGTACAGATTCCGTTGGCACAAGGACCCCAAATACCGCGACTGGGGCTGGAAGACTCTCCTTGCCTTCGAGCCACCTGCCTCAGAACGACGGCTGTGCACAGAAGCACCCGGCCCACCTGCAAGCGTTGCCGGGTGGGTACTCATGCTACTCGTGTCTCATGTAACTCGTTGTGACCTATTGTGACTCGAGAGGTCTCTTATAGGAAATGGCTCCAGGCTTTCTGAACCATGGCATCCATGGCCTCGCTGCCACTGCCGGAGCTGTGGCGGCACCGTACGCCCTCGTCGCTGGTCAGCGGCGTGGCGCTCCTCGGGGATGATGGAGGCGTGCGCACGCTGGCACAGCTGCTGGCGCCGGGGTCGACGCCCGTGGAGGGCCTGGCCGCGATTCTCTTTCCCTCCGGCCTGCCCGCCCGACCACTGGCATTTTCCACGGTAATGACCGATAGCTTCACTCATCGGACTTATGTCGGTGTACAGATTTCATACCGTAAGGGCCCTTTGGCTACCTGCGCTTGGTCGCATTTGCCGGAAGTTGCGAGCCCCAACTTCTTGAAGCTGATGCTCAGCGTGCACGAGGAGTGCCTGGATTGCCTCGACGACCCTGAAGACCCTGAAGACCCCGAAGACCCTGATGCTGGAGCCAGGAGCAGAAGCTTTGCACGCTTCGCCCAGGTGTGGGGCTGGTTGGTGCATGAGGTGCCAGCACCGCCGCCTGGCACTTCTCTCTTTCTGCACCTTGGAAATCCCATCTGTGCGGTCACAAGACCTGCCTGTGGGCTTCCGGCCATCTACGTTCCCAGTTCTCTGCAACTACTGCTGACAAGGTTGAGTGTTTCGGCCCTATTGCTGGTAATCCGCTTGCTGCTGCTGGAACAGAAAGTCTTGTTTGTCTCCTCCTCTGTTGCATTCTTGACCACTGCATGTGAGGCTTTATCATCAATCTTGCTGTTCCCTTTGGCTTGGGTACACTGTTACAACCCATTGTTACCGTCGATGGATTACTTGGCAACTCCCCCACCCTTCCTTTTCGGTTGCTTGCGCGACATCTTCCTGAAAGACAGCTTTGCTGACTCCCATGACCTGCTCTCCAGTGAGATCCTGGCGGCAGACCGGGACTTCTCCATCTTTGACCTTGACACCGGAGATGTACACCCTGCGGACCAGGAGATCTCTGAGTTGCCGGACCTGCCCGACGCAGCGCAGAGCCGGCTGCGGTTCAGCCTCACGGAGCTGCGCTCGCGATTCGAGGCCTTTCAGGACCTCCCTGGAAGCCCTCAGTCCCTTGACTCCGTCGCCTTTGACAAGTCAGTCCAGAGGATGTTCCTTACTTTCACCTCTGATCTCTTGGGTGACGTGCCGGGCTCCCTCGGGCCTTCCTGCGAGGTCGCGACAGCGGCCTCGGTGCACGAGTCCTTTCAGGAGGTCCAGTTCCTCTCCAATGCCTCGAGCCGCAGTTTAAGATCACTTGCAGCTGGCAGCTAGCAGGTCTTTTTTGTGAGCCCTATGCACAAGATGTGAAACTATAGCCAAGATCAGCGTTCAATGGGTCATGGGATTTGCAAGTGATCAAGGCAGCTCATGAAAGAAGCCATCACGATTCACGATGAGCCTGAGAGCCTGCCCCAAGAGCAAGGCTGAGCATGAGCCAGGTGTTTCGCTCGCTCTCTCTCTCTCTCTCTCTCTCTCTCTCTCTCTCTCTCTCTCGCTCTCTCTGTGTCGATGTGTCTATGTGTCTATGTGCCTATGTGTCTATGTGCCTATGTGTGCCCATGTGTCTATGTCTCTCTGTGTCTCCGTGTCTCTGTGTGTCTGTGTGTCTATGCGTCTGTGTCTGTGTTTCTGTGTGTGTGTGTGTGTCTATTTTCATTTGTTTTTGTTTTGTGTTGTGTGTGTGTGTGTGTGTGTGTCTGTCTGTCTCTGTCTGTGTGTGTGTGTGTGTGTGTGTCGGTCTGTGTCTGTCTGCGTCTGCGTCTGTGTCTCTGTGTGTGTGTGTGTGCGCGTGTGTATGCGCGTGCCTTTCTCGTCCATCGCATGCAAGTTAATTGTAGTTCACAACAGCATCTAACAGAGTATTGTGCACGATGCTTTGAAGTGTGCTTTGCTCGCCATGCCGCTGAGGTCTGTGCCAAAGACAAGCCCTTCTTCCAGTCCTTCGTGCAAACCAATGCCTTCCTGGCATACCTGCAGACCCTGCACCTGTTCGGCCCATCAAAATCTCCTTTTGCGGAGGCCCTGCAAGCAGCGGGTGCTCAAGCTGCAGTGCAGTCTGTGTCCGCAGGAAGCACCAGATACACCCTCCCCGAGCCGCGCTTTGCGTCCCCGGCACCGGATGCTCTGGACCGGACTGTCCGAGCAGCGATTGCCTTGGACCAGGGCCCTCCGCTGCCTCCACTGCAACTGCACCTCTGCTTTGCGGATTCTGTGGAAGCCAGGCAATCCAAGCAGACAGAAGGAGAAGCCGAGGCAGAGGAGGCGGATGTGGTAAAGCGGGTCAAGACAAAGGGGATGGTTTTCGCGGAGTGGGGAGGTGATGGTGCTGCTGGCGTCTCTCCACCCAAGACGGAGATGCCGGAGCCCTCTGCATGCTCGGATGTTGGGCATGAGTTCGCGCATGAGTGCGAGCACGAATGCGATGCGAAGAAGCATGCGAAGAAGCCTTCGATGGATGACATGCATTCTGGCGAGGCCTGGGCTTGGGATGGCTTGGTGTCGGCATTTGTGGAGGAGGCTTCCTGGAGGAAGGGCCGCCTTGAAGCCTCTCCGCGGTGGGTTCAACCGCTCTGCCACGGCTTCTACGAGTCAGTCAAGCATGTCAAGCTCGAGGAGCTTCCCGAAGGCTTGGTTCCCGCGGACTTCTGGACGTCGGCAGTGTTGCTCTACACCGTCTTGGCCCGCAAGTTGTTGGCTCCGGATGACTTCCTCCTGCAGGCTCACCTGGCGATTGTCGACAGACCGGCAGCGTTGCCAACACACCGGATTCTGTCACTGATGGGGGGCCTGGATCCTCACCGCCTTGGCGAGCTGCTACAGCTGCGGCCCAGCAGGCCCAGCATGCTTGCAGAGTCGGAGCCTCCACAAGCGGACGCGATGCGCTACGCACGCCGGCTGCTCGCGATTGCCAACCCCTCCGCTCTTGCCTTGGCAGAGGTGGATGATCCGGCGTTAGCATTCGTTTGTCCCTGCTCAGACGACGACGGCGAGAGTGAGTACCCTGCTTCTCCGCCTCGGCATACCCTCGCCAATCCGGTGGTACTGACGTACGAAGAGACGAGGTCGATGCCTGCGCGCGAGGGGCGTGGGCGCGAGGCGCGTGAGCGTCAGCCCCGTGTGGAGCTGCTGCCTTTCCAGGGGCCCGAGACTTCGGTGCTGAACCACCGCCGCTTTTGCAACTGGACGGACCGAGATCCAGAGCTGCTCTCCCAGGAGCTCCTACGCGGAGCCTTCCGAGCCTTTCGGTCGGCTGCCACCGCTACGGCTGCTACGGCTGCCCCTGCTGCCGCCTCCGCCGGCCGAGCGCGGAAGCTGCTGGAGCGCCTCCACGAGCCGCTTGCGGAGCTCCAGTGCGTGAGCGTTTCGGGGAAGTTGGAGGCGTGTCTCAGCTTTTGGTTGAACTGCCTCAATGCAGCCACCTTAATTGCCGTCGCTGCTCCCTCTCGAGTCGGGGCTTCGGAGGCCCCGACGAACCTGGCAGCTTGGGTGGAGCTTCTGAACACGGCGCAGCTGGAGGTTCAGGGAGAGGTGATGAGCTTAGCTGAGATCGAAGATGGCCTGACGCGTTCGGACTATCACGTGGGTTCCCCAACCTCCCCAGCCACGGGCGATTCGCCACCTCGACGGGATGAGCAACGGCGAATCTTGAAGCGTCCGGTGCCTTTGGCAGTCTTCGGTGTCCACCGGCCTACAAGCAGTCACCCTCCACTTCGGCTTTTTCAGGCGACAGCTGTGCTGGCTCAGCTGGATCTCAACGCGGTGCATTTGATCTGCAGCCAGACCCAAACGGATGCCCGGAGAGCTTTTGGAAGTTTAGCGATGGGTGCCTCGATGCCCCCCCTCTCTTTGCACCGTGTGAGTATACTTGTGCAGTAGCAGTGCAACGTCGTGTGACAAACAATAATTTACTTGTCAGGGTTTGCTGCCCAGGATGGCTGGAGGCGGAAGGTGCTGCTCCCGGGCTTCTTGGAGAACTTGGACTTTGAGGCCGAGGGTTTCTTGGAGCTGCTGACGTCGCTGCTGCAAAAAGCTCCCGACCGCGTCCTGGAGCTCGAGGCCGCAACGGGCCTGGTACCCGAAGCAGATCAGGAGATTCTACCCAAGGCAAGGGACCTCTTGAAGCGCCTGGAAAGCCTTCGACGGAGCGGGAGCCTCCAAGGGGTTCGCGTCGAGTTCATGGAAGCCGACTGGGCCTTCAAGCCTCCGGCTCCCGCGTGCCACCTCCTGGCCGACGTGTCGCGAAGGCTTCCAAAAAAGAGCTTCCAATCTAATGCGCCTTCCCCGCGGGCGCCTCCCCTATCCCGCACATTTAGATGTGAGCCACGCACCTATGAGCAAAATGCACTCCCTTTCATGAACAGCCTCAAGGAGCTTTGACGTCACCACGCTAGAATCCGATACGGAATGCTGCGGGTTTCCTTGAGGGTGTAAAGGGTTTCAAGGGGGGGGCTTAAAGATGTTCAACGGCCTACAGGGCTTACGGGCTCTGAATTGCTGCAAGATTTGAATCTTAACAAGGGCTTGCTTCTTTCACAAGTTCCAACAAGGAAGTGGCTCTGGGTCCCTCATGGGCGGGGGCCTTAGCGTCCTAGCGCGGCTTTCGTAGGCCCTGCGTTGGCTCTGACGATGCCCTGCAGGTACGCTTCGTTGAGGGACGTGCGGCAGACTTCCAAGACCTACCTGGACAGGACAGAGTCGGACAGAGGGGCATGAGGGAGTGCAAGAGTTGGCCATCTCTGTCCAGGGTTCCTTTTTGAAAGAACTTGTGAGGATGGAGAGCTTCTTCATTGCTGAGACCTTGAAATACCTCTTGCTGCTCCAGGCCAGGCATCGACCTTCAGGTTGCAGGGACGCTCGACCTTGCCAGGCGGATGATCACGAGATGAAGCTGGACCGCTATGTCTTCAACACAGAGGAGCTTTGCACGACATGTCACATCTCAGTGTGTGCCGGTGTTCGACGTCCCTTTCCCACCACATCGCTGGTGCACCGACGCAGGCACACCCTCTGTCCATCTTGGAGTTTGCACCAAAGCCCTGAGCAGGACGCCCTGACCCCAGGCGTTTCCAGACATCCCCCAGACCCCAAAAACTCTCAAACCATGTCTGCGACCACCTCTCCTTCATCTCTCCTTCCTTGTGAGGTGTCGGGAAGTGTTGGCTGGGAAGATCCCGGCCCCCTGACCGGCTGAAACAGCCGGGGCCAGGCTGGCCGACCACTGCATCAAATTGCTTGCAAAAGCTTACTCGCCTAAAAACCTGCCTTATACTCGCCTTACTTGCACATCTCGAGGCCCACCTAAATCAAAAGCATCGTCTGTGGGAAGCAGAGCATGCCATGCCCCATAGGAAGACAGCACTGTTGCAAATGAGATTCTTCTCCGCAGCGATTCTTCTCGAGCGTGCGCCGGAGCGCTGCCCGCAAGTAAGTTTCTCCAAAGCCTGGAACATGCCTTCCGAGAAGCAGCTTCCAGTGCAGCCAATAAAGCCTCTGGCGGCCCTGCTGACACTTGCATTCGCTGCAAGCTGGGTTGCATCTTGGTGAACGATGGTCTGGGCAGCGGGAAAGCTTCTCGCAAGCAAGCTCCAGGTGTTACTGCAGCCGGAGGGTACCCAGACAGGCATGACCTATGTCACTTTAGCGGCGCCTCTGCTGGTGCTGCTTTTTGGCTTGTTTATGACGAACATCCGGGGCTATTTGGATGCCAAAGCCCAGAACGACATGCCGCTGGCAAAAGCAGCTGCCATGGATTTAGACATGGCCCTGCTCCTTCAGCGGCATGGGCGAAGAATCATCGCCGATCAACCGCATGCCGATTGGCGCAAGTTGAAATTGCGGCAGGCCCTTGGCAGGGCATCCCGCTTTCTATGGTGTCGTTCTACCTGGCAAGCCATAATGTCATAGAAGCGCCTGTGTGCCAGTCTACTGCAGCGATTTCAAGATCACTCTTTCGTTCTCTCACGGCATCGTGGCCATAAACACCATCGCAACATTCAGAAGGCTCGAGATGAAACTCGGCTGATCAGGAAGATGGAGGAGGCGCTTGACTATGGCACAGGTAATTCCCGGCCGGCCACCAGGCAAGCTGCAACCACAGGAAGGCCACCAGTGATCGGCCACCAGGCATTCAGGCTTCAACCAGCCTTCCTGGTCCGCCACCGGGCATCCTAACACTTGGGACGGGATTCCCAGATCGGCCACTGGGCATTTCAAGCTGAAAGCGGCGTTGCTGGTGAGCCTCCTGGCATGCAAACAGCGCAGCCAACCTTCCTGATCGGAGACTCAGACCGGCGGCGTCATGAGCCCCCACGGCGACATTGTGACGCTTCCTTAATAGATTCTGACACCCATTGCCACCATCGATCCTCGCATTTAGTGGAAAATCGCGAGCCGTCTGTTGAAGGAGCTGGAAGCTATTGTGCAACCCTCATCATTAAGCGTTGACCCAAGACTCAGCTTTGAGCATGAGACAAGCAGAATGACGGGGGCCAGGCGTCATCGCTTTAAACTTAGCAGAACTTAGTTGCAAGAAGAAGCAAGCTCTTGATCAGCAGCTTGCAGATCTCGTACATGTGGTCGGGCCCTTTCAAGCACAACAAGCTGCAAGCGAAAGCAAAAACATTGTCACACGAACCAACCTTGGCCACATGCCCTCGCGACTTCCTGCTGGCTTTACCTGTACTCTATACAACATGATGCTCCGATACCACCTCGTCGGTTACCTGCACAAGCCGCAGTAGCACCACAGCACACAGAAACAATCATAACTTGTCCTAACTTCGGTCTACCCCGCCCATGCAGCCTCGACCGGCCGCGCAAATTTTGCCAAGTGCCAAGTGTTGCACGTCATATGGCATATCAGGACTTCCAGAAGCTCTAGGGTCGCCCTCTGGGGCTTTGAGAGAAGGGTCGTATGCGCTCGCCGGGTCCGCAGCACTGAGCAAGGCCGGGGTGACTGGATGCGCGGCCTCCAGCCCCCTCAGGCCATGTGCATCTCTCTTTTTTTTGTCTTGGAGAAAGGTTTGCAACGGCATGGGTGGTGTCAGTCCCCTTAAGGCATCGGGTTGCCATTGCCCTCAAGTAAAACTCATCCATTCCCATCATCTCCTGGAGGCGCCCGGCCGCGTGGGGAAGCCCAATGAGCGGGCGCAGGCCACATCGTTCTCTAGATTTTTGTGGCTGATTTTGTTTATCCAAACCGGGTACCCTGCATTTCTACCAGGGCCCGTGTGTTAATAGGTACACTGGACAGGACCCTGGTTCGGGCACCTGCCGGGTGTTTCGGTTGTGGCATGTGCTGGAGCGCTGAGGGCTTTGGGTTTCAGGATGTTTCAGGGTTTGGTGTTGCAAGTTGTTCTGGCAAGGCTCCTGCGACGCGTCCTCGCCGCAGCCTTTGTCAGTGCTTCTTGCAAAGCTATGATCCGTTGTCGATGACAGCTTGTTGAAAAGGAGCTGGTACTTCGGGCATAAGCAGGGGAATAAGGGGTGCAGGGCGGCTGAGAGGGGTTGGGAGGCCCCTTCCTTGCTTAAGGCCGGCCCCTTCCACAGCTGCCCGTCAAGCGTTGGCCCCAGCGCTTTGACAGCCCGCAGAAGCTTCCTTTGGCAGCGAAAACTCCAGTGTTCTGCATGGGTAAATCGACATTTCTCATCTTCAGGAGCCTGTGGATTTGCTTCCTTGTAGGCGGGAGAGCGCATCCGAGAACGGCAAGCGTGGCCGCCTGCGTGTCTTCTCCGAGGCTGAGGAGGCTCAACTGCCTCTTTCCGAATTTACCGATAGAATGCAATAGTGTTTCATGGACCTCCGCAAACAACCTGATTGTCAGGATGAGCTGGGAATCGGGACTCTTCTTGGCGACTACGAGGAGCAAGGAGGGAACACAGATCCCAAGCTTTTGCAGGTAGGTGTGCGCGAAGACGCCTGCCCAAGGTGTGATGAACCACGGCCGCCCCACGTACCAAAAGGCCTGATGCCGGTGAGACCCCACAGAGAGATGCGGAATGCTGGAAGCTTTGGGACTATGGGAGGTTCCAGATCCATCTGGCCAAGATGAGGCATGATGCCACCCCAAGCTCGAAAAGCCAAACCCAAAAACACCTTCAACACTCATCATCTTGAGTTCTTCTCTGGCGAGCCCCTTTCCCTGCCTTGAAGGTCAGCGTCTACGTGTACTATTGGGACACTCGCGTGCGCTGCTTACTGCGGCCTTTGACCCGCCCGGAACAGCCAAACCCTGAACCCCTAAACTGTCAGAGAGAGAGGTAGGGCAGGTAGGGAGCCATTGATGCGGGGGCTTTGAAAGAGAGCCGGCAGCTTTAGGAAGTAGCGGTTTGGGGTAGGGCAGTATCGGGTAGAGACCTTCCATCAGTTTTTGCTCGGAGCCGAGGATGGCCTGGAGTTCTCGGGTTGGTGGTTCGGCGACAAGGTGGGAGACTCCCTTTCGAAGCTCAAGCCCAGCTCGCTTCTGGAGTCCTTAGCAGGCTTAGCAGGCTTGAGCCTGTCCTTCCTCTAGTCCCTAGAAGTACTTCTATCGCTGTTCTCCGGCTTCACTCTTCGAGCGCTGAGGTGGGTGGGTCCCAAGTCTGGTCCCGGGCCACGGACAACAGCAAGGCCACAGGGGAGTTCAGATTGATGCCCTTTCTTCCCGTGTTTGGGCTTCCTGAGGACTTTTGTAGCGTGTCCCTTACAAAGAGGCCCCTCGTCCTCTTGCAGGCTCCGCCAGAACGAGGCTGGAAGGTGCCTTGGGACGGAGAAGCAATCGAGGGCTTGCTTTGTGCCCGGGGGCCCAGTCTCACTGCTCTCAAGTTTCGGTCTCTGACTTATCTAGGATCCTTGGGATCCTTCTAGGATCCTTAGGATCCGAGTTCGGACGCATCCGCAACGCAGCGTTCCTGAGGTCGAGGTGCTCAATGCGGGTCTGGCGCAGCCGGTCTCCGCCCCTCCGGCTCCAGTCCCTCCTCCCAAGGCTGCGCCCATGAAGGCCAAGGTCCAGGAACCGGACGACGTGGACAAAGATCTGCTGAAAGAGTGCGGGACCCAGCTCCTTTGCTTCGCGTTTTTAGTACTTAACTTAGTCTTCTTTGGGCGCCTTCATGCCCACACTCCGCAGGCCGAGGTGGAAGACACGAAACGTAAACCTTAGTCATCCGGATTTTTGTTCTTAGCGAGCGAGGCGCATCCGCTTGGCGACGGATCGAGTGGCCTCGGCCGAAGCAGAGGCGGAGCAGGTGCGGTTAAGGGGAGAGAGGGAGAGTGAGAGGGGGAGAGAGGAGAGAGGGACTGGAAGGAAGGAAGGAAGGAAGGAAGGAAGGAAGGAAGGAAGGAAGGAAGGAAGGAAGGAAGCTAGCAAGCAGGGAAGGAAGGAAGGAAGTAAGGAAGGAAGCTAGCAAGCGAGGAAGAAAGGAAGGAAGAGAGACAAAAATGGAAAGGAAAGGAAAGAGCCAGGGATGGTAGAAGGTCAGGGGCTTTGGGCCTTGAGAGAACAAGGCACAGCACAGGCACAGAACACACCACAGCAAGATGAGGAAACCGTAAAGTACAGAGCACACAGGCAAGATCAGGGCGGGGGGTTGTGTGATGATTGTGTGTCTTTGTCTGTCTTTCTCTGCCTGTCAGTCTGTGTCTGTCTGTCGGTGTCTGCCTGCCTGTCTGTGCCTGTCTGTGTCTGTCTGTGTCTGTCGATGTCTGTCTGCAACTATGTCTGTCGAGCGGAGAGTTTTCTTTCTGTACCAGCTGAGGAGATTATTGTTTGCATACTTTGGATAGCGAGACCAGAATGAGGTGGTCAAGGCGGCCAAGGAGATGGTCTCCGCGGAGGCCCGGAATGGTGGATCCTGGCAGCAGCTGGCAGCTTCAGCTTGGCAGTTGCAGCATTTACCTGCAGGGGGTGCCCCGGAACAGGACGCGGATGAAGTGGTTATCCAAGAAGCGGAATCACAACTCCGTGCTCAAATGGCAAGGGCCGCAGCTACCGAGTAGAATGTGCAGAGAACTAAGTGCACCTGAAAGATAATGCTAGTACGCCAAGTCGCGGTGCCTAGCGGCCTCGCCTTGTGGCAGGAGACTATCCAGGCAGAGCACAGGCAAATGACGAAGGAGCCAGCTTTCCGTTTTCTCCAAGCTTCTCTCAGCTGGAACTGGAGCTGCTAGTTACGTGGGCGTGGAGTAGCCGGCAAGGATGCACAAATGTCCTCACACCCATACTCAGCAAGCACTATGGGTAAGGGGACACGCAGCTTTGTGTGCGGGGCCCCCCTCGGCCACAGTGAAGGGTGCAATGCACCACAAGCTCTGTAGACACGACTGAAGCAACCCCCTGTATCCCTGGAACCCGAAAGCGCCGAAAAGCGCCCAACTCAAAAACATCACGAAAAGCCTCTAAAGAGCCCTCTCCCTCTGAGGAGGTTCAGGAAGCCCGTGCTGGGGGCTCCACCCAGAGCGCTCTGGGTGAATTTGCTCGCCTGCTGCCGGGGCCTTAGCAGGAAGAGAAAGAAACGCCGTTTGAAGGAAGAGAAGGACCAAGACATTTTTCATCAACGATCTTTCGGAGAGCTCTGACGGACTCATCGCAGAAGCAAGTATACTGTATACTATGCATACATATAAATACAAAGAAAGTATATACAAGTGAATAGATACATATATAAAAACCACACGCATACACACGCGCACACGCACGCGCTGTATCTTAGAAAGCTGGCATTCGCGGCATAAGCTCCGTCACAGGCCCAGACTTCGTGCCCTCCACGGAACCGTCGAGAAGGAGCTCAAAGCAGCCTGGCGCTCCAGGAGTGCTCCCAGTTGTGGCAAGGGACAAGAGCCGGGTGGTGCAGGGGGTCACGTGAAGAGGCCATCGCTCCCTCTTTTGAATCGTACACACATTGTGTGCTTTAGTGTGTCCCCCAACTCTCAGGACGCTCAGAGGACACTGGGATTTTGGGGTGTCACCAGTCTCCGTTGTCCGCTCAGGTCAAAGCAGCTCTCTTCAAGGCTCTGGCAGGGGTAAAGAGTTTAGACGCCAGACCCCCATGACCACATAGTTCTACATAATGTTACATAAGTCTATGACAAGCCTCGCAGCCCGCGACGCACCCACTGCTCGCAGGTCAAGCAGGCAGCAGAACATGCCAAGCAGAAGGCCAGGTTCTTGATGCTGGAAGCAGAGCCCAAAAGCTCGTCTGCCACATGGAAATTCTCTGGATTCACCCACAAGACTCGCAAGCTCCTCTTAGTGTTTGCTGCAAAAGGCCAATGCCGCGGAGGCTGCTGCCGAGGCTGAGCAAAAGGATGCCAGCGCCGTGGATTCTTATGCACGTTCAATTGGAGAGCAGTGCAGTGCGTCGGACTTGGCCTGAGGTTCTCGCTTTTCAGGCAGCACTTCCCGAGGCAACGGGCTTCGGTGCCCTTTTGATCCTTGAGGGTAACCTCCACCATCTTCTCCGTCGTCGTCATCATCTTTAGGTTTGTTTGTCTATATACTCTTATTCCCACCCCATTCTTGTTGTGACGATTTTATCAACACATCCAGTGTGTTGCAGAGGCTATGCAGGTTGTCACAGACGCCGAGGACGCTGTCGAGCGCCTCGGCCGAGCCTTGTTTTCCTGCCTTTGCCTCCCCTTCCCTGCCGTCTCTCCTTTTTCTAGCCCTCGGGTGGCTGGGGCTGCTCCCTGCAACCTGATGGCCCCGTACGTGTTGTACGTGTTGGTGGAGGCAACCCCTTTCGCCCGAACGCGCAGCCCCCACCCCTCCTTCGTTTCAGGGGGTAGGGTTTAGGGCTTATAGGGTCTAGGGTCTTGGGTGTAGGGTTTAGGGCTCAGTCTCTAAACCCTATATTTTCAGGTATGGGGTAGGGCCGGGATTCCCATTCTCGCATATTAATTTAAAGCACCCTGTGCCCCAAACATTTAGCATTTCGTGTTCACATCAGGTTTCAAATCTGGCTTCAGGGCTATCCGAATACCCTGAACTCCCCTAGCCCTGGACGAAAGGAGCGTGGCATCGGGCTTTAGGTTTAGGACGCATAGGCCTTCCTGTACACTCTCAGCCCCTTCAACGCACAAGATTCCCAGCCCCGAAGCCCTGCAACTTGTAAACACGAAAAAAACACAGGCCCCAAAGACCCTAGACCCCAAAATACCCTGACTGATCCTGAAGTCCCTGAAACCTACATCCCCGAAGCTCTCTGTCCAGCTCTTTCAACCACTGAGCCCTAAACCCTCGAGCCTGAAACTGGGTTGATGTTGAGAATACGAATAACAAGAAACCCAGCTGCTGTGTATTGCGATGACTGATGTTACGTTCCTTTTATCAGCAACGAACCCGGATGGCTGGGATTTTAAGGACGGTGGCGATCCTTGCGGCGGCTGTGGGCATCGATGACGATGTTCCGGAGGCCGGGGAGACCCAGCTGAAGGCCATCCAGGACATCGAGAAGCCGAGACCTCAGGGGCTCCCCACTTCAAAAGAGAGGCAGCCATGTTCCTCTGAGCTCCGCGCGTCGCCTTTTGGTGACCCCGTGACTCCCTGAGGGCTGCGACGAAGGCCTCCAACCACTTGATCGAGGCCCGGTTTCGGAAAAAGAAAATGCGCCTTGTTGCTCCTTCAAAAACAACTGCAGAGTGTCAGGCCAGAAGGCTGGTCACCGCCCGCCTCCAAGACACCAAGCGCTTCAGACCGGAGGCAAGGAAGGCCCGGCACCGAGAAATAAAGGGAGAGAAAGGGGTTTTATGTGAGCCTTATTTGGGAGAGCGTTGGGCACAGGTTGCAACCAAGGAGTACCAGGCCAGGACTCTCCCCGGGCCGACCCTGCTTGGATTCACCTCTTGGGATTTCGGCAAGTTGCGGGATTAGGGGGAGGGGTTCAGGGAGGGAGGGGAAGGAGGGCGGCCACTCTTGAAAATCCACGTAACTCTGCAGGATCAGGCTTCAGGATGTGCTTGAGGATGTAGGAGTCTCGCCTTAACAACCCATGCTCGAGTCCCGCTATGATCTCCTGGGAGCCGTGGGTGAGGGTGCCTTTGGCACGGCGTACCTCGTCCAGCGGAAGCACTCGAAGCCTTCCTCGGAGCGTGGAGAGCTCTTGGTGGCCAAGAGGACCCCACTGTCCCACTTGCGCAGGGAGAGGCAAAAAGATGCCGTCCGTGAGGCCGAGCTGCTGAGGAGCCTGTCGCACCCCAACGTCGTCGAGTTTGTGGACTCCTTTGAAGTGGGCTCATATGGCTCAGGGCACTTTCTCTACATCATCATGGGCTTTGCAGACGCCGGGGACCTGGCTGCAAGGATCCAGCGTGCGCAGGACCGGGGCGAAGCGATCCCGGAGCGCGAGGTGATGCAGGTGAGCTCGCAGATGGTGCTGGCTCTGTCCTACCTCCACAGGAACCGGATCCTCCACCGCGACGTGAAACCAACCAACATCTTTCTCACAAGGCGCGGCCTTGTGAAGCTCGGAGATCTTGGCCTTGCAAAGCGGGTGGAGCTCTCCGCATCCTCCGTGCAGACGCCGGCGGGGACGCCTTTGTACACCTCCCCGGAGGTCTGCCACAACCAGCGCTACGGCACCCAGAGCGACGTCTGGTCTCTCGGCGTGACCTGCTACGAAGTCGCAGCGCTGAAGCCGCCCTTTGAAGCCGAGTCTCTGGCCTGCCTGGTCACAAAGATCTGCCAGTCCCAGCCAGATCCGCTTCCTTCCACATATTCCAGCGACCTAAACGTGCTGATCATGGCACTGCTGGAGAAGGATCCGAGTGTGAGGCCTTCTCTTCCGGATGTCCTTTGCACGCAGTTCATGCGATCCTGCTTGAAGATCCTACTGCGTGATCAGCAAGAAGCCGCTTGGGATAGCCGCGATCGCCTCTTGTTGGCCCGGACAGTCTGCGAAGCTCTGCTACAGGGAGTGGATGCAGGTCAAGGCCAGCAGCGAAAGTCGTGTCCACGGGCCGGGGCCCCTCTGGGCCCTGTTCCGTAAGGACCTGAAGCCTATATAGACTGCAGAATATATCTGCAGAATGCTGTAGAATCACTTTACCATTTCTGTAGGACTCTCCAATTAAAGGGTAAACGTAGCTAGTGAGGGGACAGTGCATATGGTCCTCAGTTTCAGGAGCCAAAGACTCCTTAGTCTCCCCCATCTTTGGCGGCAAAGCAGCGCCGAAGAATGCAGTTCAGTAAAGATGTGTCAATGAACAGGTGGAAGCCATTGGCCCCTGCTCCCTTGGAGTAACAATCTTCAGGATTCGCAGAAGAAAGCAAGAGAAGATCCGTTTCTTAATTCGACTCTGGACTTTCCGCGATCTTGACCTTCGGTGGGATGGTTCCTATCGGGATTTCCACGAATCCCGGCCCCAGGACCTCGAGCGGAAGATCACCGAGGCTCACACGCGGCTGGTGCCCCTCAAGGCATTCCGCCAGGAGACGACGGAAGAGGTGTTTAGAGTTTCATCGGGGGGGAGGTTCGTTTTATCAGCCGCTGCCCTTGCCCTGAGGAGTTCGAGCACAAGGCCTCTGCCAAGAAGGCCTTGGCGGAGATCATCAGAACGCTGAGCAGCCTGGTCCCGAGCAAGAGAGAAGGGGAATTGGGCTGAAAGAATCCCTCTCCTTTTTTGTTGATCTCATGATCTCCTTCCTCCGGCTGCCAGGTGCAGAGCTGGAGGTCGAGAAGGCAGGGTGAGAAGGGTGAGAAAGACTTTGAAAGAGAGGGGTGGTGGCTTGTGGTGACGTGCAGGGGCAGTGCAGGGTTAACCACAGGCGCACATCATGGCATCCTCAGCAGACTCGATGGGAGCGAAGATGGAGGAGGCCCGGGCTTTGTGGTGCGGAGATGTGCGGAGCCCTGAGTAACTGAGTAGCCTTTGTGCCCGGGTGGTTTAGTTGGCCGCCGCGGAGCCTTCACATGCATCAAGCGTTGCATCAGGTTGTTACCAACTGTGTGTTGGCTCGAGCGTTGCTCCGATGTCTAAGAGTGTGGGGTGATGAGATCATTGCGTCCAGGATTCCAGGATGTCACGAATAGCACCCATCTTGGTGGCTCTGGCTGCGAGAAGTCTTGCGGCACCAGAGCAGCAGCCCATCTGCAGACTGGCAGATGCCTTCACAACCTCCGTGGATATGCACATAGCCGACTGGGACAGTCAGATTGACTTTGCCCTGAACGAGTCCTTAAATTGCTCCGACTTCCTGGAGTACGTTTACCTGTCCAGGGATCGGATACGCACGCAGTTGGACTATGTGCGTGGCAACTTCACGGCTGAGGACGAGGCCTTCCGATTGCAGGGTGCGATGGGTGGTTCCAGCGCCTGGGCCATGACTCACATGTCTGCGGCTGCATCCCTACTTAGTGCCTATGTCCACATCCACGGCATGCTCTCCGCGGCACGTTTCGAATGCCTCAATGAGCACCTGCAGCTCCTCTTCCTGATGAGCTTCCGGCGCCTGAAGGCTTTGCTGCACAGCCAGCTGCGACACCTCTGGCTGGTCTTCCAGGGCACTGCAGAACTGGTGCGCCAGGGCGCAGGGAAATGGCTGGCAGAGGTTGTGGACCTGTTCGAGGCCCTGGTGTTGTGCGATTGTTGTGCATGACTTGTGATGCACCTTTTTTCGAGGCTTGCCTCAGGTTTGTGTTCGAGTTAGCGAATGGTGCCGGAGTCAGTCGAAGTTGTCGGGAAGGGTATACAGGCTCGGACCTCACACGTTCCATGCGACAAGCAGGAACCTATCTAAAAGACTCACCGACCTCTTATGCTGACCGACCGGAGAGGAGTGAGTGAGTGAGGAAGTGAGTGAGTCGGCCGACTTCCGAATTCTCTGTAATGGTGCTGTCTCTCCCTGAAAGGCAGACCTCCGGACCTACGAGTCTGTGATGGTGAACTGGAAGTCCAAGGAGGAGATCGAGGAAAGCAACAACGGCACGGTACCCTTGAGGCCGGGGCCCCCTCTCCCGGCCTTCACCACAAGGGAAGCCGACGGCATCGCCCTGTCCACCATCGAGGTGCTCCGCCGCGATACCTTCGAGGATTGGAACGTGCCCAAGGCGCTCCTCCGTGCCTTGCTGCGCTATGTGATTCCAAGGGACAGCCAGGTGGCCGACTTTTGTGCAGGAATCGGGACGGCTGCCAGCTTCCTTAACGACACAGGCCTGGTCAGGGCATATGCCTTCGATGCCTCGAGCAACATCAAACTGCTCAGCCGAAGCGCCGTGGAACACCTGCGGCTTTACAGCGAGGAGGCGAGGCTGTGGACCAGCTTCGATGTAAGCATGTGCTTGACGGCAGCCACCGACTACGCACCCAAACCCGAGGTTTGGGCGCAGGTCTGGCAAAATCTGGAGGCCAACACGCGCCGGACGGCCATCTTGACCTGCGGGGCTGGTGAGGCGCGGCAGGAAGCCATGAGTGCAGCCGCCGCGCACGCCCCGAGCCTGTCCTATGATGAGCAGCTCAGCTCGCAAATTGACGAGCTCCATCCAGGGATCTGTATCTTCTGGCGCAAGCCAGGGCTATGAACCGACAAAGAAGCCTTAACTTCCCGAGAGAGTGTGCTAGGTTGCGCTGATATGTCCCGCCCCCCCAAATTTGTTTGTTCACTGCAGAGAGCGGGGGCATGTCCAGGATGAAATTAAATCCACCTCCAAGCTCCTGGATCCGGCCGAGGCGGGGCATGCTTGCGGGTTTCGGGTGTGGGCTTGTGGGCTTTTCAGGGCTCACAGGGTTTTGGGATGGTTCGAGGGTGTTGAGTCTGCTTGGCTTAGGATCAGCTGGCGCTCAGAAAAAACCCGGAAGTGGCAGGCGGATCTGAAGCTCGCCGTGCAGCTTATCGAGCGGAGGCTCAAGGCTGGCTGGGCTTCAGATGGAATTTCGGGTGTTTAGGAACATGCAGACCTTTCCAGGGGTGCGTGAGATTGAGGGCGATTTTTTTGGTCTTTGGGCGAAGGGGCCTCAATCGCCCTCCTGAGCGGGTTCTACCCATGCTACCCTTTCAGGCACTGCCTGGGAAGGATGCGGAGAGCGAGCAGCAGCGGAAGGAGCTGGATGCCAGGAGCTGAGATGAGCTCAGAGCTTCCCAAACCTCCCAAACCCCTCGGCCGTCGCCTGTCTCCTCAAACAACCATCCTCAACCATCCTAAACCATCCTAAGCCATCCTAAACCATCGAATCCTAAGCCCTAAGCCATCCTGTGAACCCTCAGATCTTATCCCAGAGAACCATCGCCCAGGGCCTGCAGCGGAGGAGCACCGAGGCGCGTAGCAAAATGGCTAATGTCCGCTGGAGCCCAAGAAAGGTTGGCCAGAACCCGATGATCAAGGCTTTAGACTTTCTGAGGGCTCCGAAAACCGAAGCCACACTTGGCCCTCGCCAGCTCAGGCGCCGTGCTGAAGCGGCAAGAAGAGTCGCTGCAGGTAGACGTGCTGCAGAACCAGGTGCCTTCAGCTGAGTCTTATCCCACAGGTCAACAAACTTAGTACGGCTCACTAGCCATTCTTTTTGAGGGACATCAGGTACTGGTGCATGCAGAGCTTTTTTGGGGCGAGAGCAGGGTCAGGAAAGCCCCAGGAGCGCCCCCGCACAAAGTCCCACCGCAGGTCGGAGGGGAGGGGAGGGGAGGGATGGGGGGAAGCGGGGAAGGGAAATTCTAAGCCTGAACCTTACACCTGTTGTTCCAGGCTTCCAAAAGGGGTTGAAGTAGGTGTCGTAGGTGTGGGCCTCGCTAGAAGTGCCAGGTGGCCGAGAAAGTGGAGCAAGCGGAGGAGGCCTTGTGTCTGAAGAGCGAAGAAGGTTGACAGGTTGACCAACTCTGAAGTGAGCAGAGGCGTTCCTGGCGACAGCTGAAGCAGAGATGTCATGCCCCCGGCTGCTGTCCAGCGCCGCCCCGCATCAGCACTTGCTGCCGGGAATTGGGCTTACCTTTTTGCTGTCAGGCCTTTCCTCAAGGGTCTCGAGGCCTTCCATTTCATATCACTTGCCTACACGACACTGCGCGCTGTTAGCTGCCCTGGGCGCTTCAGGTTGCTTTTGCTGCTGGAGATGCGCTGTCTTGCTTGATCGCCTCCTGTTACGCAGGTCCTACCCCGGGAAGAGGGCATCCAAGCCGTCGCCCAGTGCGAGGCAAGCCACTTTATGCCCTTCGATCTGGGAGGACCCATCTTTAGAGCCACGAGAGGCTGCGGCCAAGAAGTGCGAAGTGGCATTGGAGCAAGCCAGGTGGGGGGAGAGAGCTCCGAGGGTGTGTGGGCCGGGGGCGGGGGCTGTTGGGCTGTTGCTTCCTCTTTGTGGGAGGGGATTCCTGCACAAGTTTCGAGCACTTCTTTTCCCAGAGGCTTCTGCACGAGAAGGTTGTCAACGAGCACAGGAACAAGTTTTCCAAAGAGGCCAGAGACCGGCTAAAAGAGGAGCTTGCCAAGACCCTGCCTCAGCTGAAAGAAGCACGTATTTTCAATAGCTAGTATATGATACTGTATGATATACTAGTCTTGTTTCTTTACAATGCGAATGTAGCAACAACAATGATAGTTCCAATTCATAGCATACTTCTGACTGTTATATATGTATTTCATCATATGTTCGCTGCAACGCCTGAGATCGAGGTTCCGGCTTCGAGGTGAGGAAACTGCGAAGAAGCTCGTCAGCTTCAAGTTGGAGCCTTGAAACCTTTGAGGAACCATTGAAAAGTGCTCCTCTCACTTCGGGGGTGACAGGAAAGAGACGCAGCAACGCAAAGCCCAAGCGATGCTCCAAGAAGTAACGGAACGGGTAGTGCCTCGACTGCATTTGTAAGCAGTTTTCGCTCCTGTTCGCGGATGTGGGCGCATGGGCCACAACATGCTATCTGGCTTCCCCCAGGCGGAGGCAGAGAGCCAGTGCCAGACTTTCGCCGAGGCCACGTGTTTTGCCCGCCTGACTCCGCTGGACACCAGACACCAGACGCGTGCACGCAGCAAAGTGTCCTGGTCGGCAGGTGGTGAAAGTTCTGGGCACGGACAACCTCGAGCAGGCCCGCAAAGCGCGCAATTTTCAAAGACCTGGGCATCCCACCGCTGAGACTCCTCTCTCCAAGTGTGTACGTGAAGCACCCTGGAGGTCACGGTCGACACCCTCAAATATGCAATTGACCAGTCAGTGCCGGCGGAGAAGGTCCGGTCCCGGAAGTGTTGGCAGCATCGGCAAGCGTGCAGAGGGTCCCTCCCCCCACTACTGCAGGACGCCGTCCGAGCCTACAATGCGGCCCGAGAGATCATCACCACCAAGCAGAAGCAGGTCAAGGATAGCTCCTTGCAGCGCGAACCTCAATTTGAGCTGCTCTCCGGAACCTTCCGGAACCTTTCGGAACCTTCAGGAACCTTCCGGAACCCCTGAAAAGCGGAAGTTCCCAGTTGCCCTCTTAGGTCCGAGCTGACAAAACTGCAGACCAAGCTGGGCGCCGCCCATCAGGAGATGGTCAAGAGCAGGTGTTCTGGTCTGTTTGGGTGTGTTTGGGTTCTCCGACATTCTCTGACTCCGTCCCAAAAGGCCGACACTTCCAACTCTGCAGGCAGCTCGCCAAAAGCGGGGAGGTCATGATCCGCAGCAGGAAGGTAGGGCTGGCTGGGTGGCTGCTGTTGCACGTGTGCGTAGTGTGATTAAGATTATAAGATTCTTCTGCATTTGTATCTGTCGGCTTCTGTCCTGTCGGGTGCGCTTGCAGCGGCGGTGGTTCGTGTGGTCGGCTTGAGGTCATGGAAGCGGAAGAAGCAAAGATCAAGTCCATTGATGAGCTGGTGCTGGAGGCGCAGCTGTGCTGTGTCTGTGGGCCTTCCGTAGTGCTCCGCTGCCTCCCCTGCCTTTGCCAGATGGAGCAGCTGGCTTCCCTGCTCGCGAGTCCAGAGCCCAAAGCCGAGGATGCCTAATCCTTGAAGGGAAACACTGCCGGTAGACGCAAGGCTCCAAGAAATCAAATCCGCCACTGGAGCAGGATCTCAAGAAGGTAGATGACAACATGAAGAAAGCGCAGGCAGCCGGCTGCCTCAGTTGCTACCTGCGCATCCCGCATGCTCTCTCCGCGTTTGCGGCCCTGACCTTTCTCGCGGTTCTTCGAGGCTGTCGCGGGCGGGTCAGCATCCCTGGATGCACAGCTGAAGGGCGCCGTGCCGTCCCTGAAAGCCTCCCTCGGCAAGTTGAGGGAGAGGCTCAAAGAGGCCACCCAGAAGATCGAGAAGGTGGGCAACTCCTTTAAGAGGAGCGACACCGGCTGGCGGCAGAAGTGTATCAGGTGAAGCAGACCACCAAAGCCCAGCGGGAAAAGGCCAACGCAGAGGCCTGCTCTCTGAGTTTTAAAAGCCTTGGGCCTCGGCTGCTTCGGCTTTGGCGGAGGCCTATGTGAAGGAGGCCGAGCAAAAGGTCGATGCCGTAGAGGCATCGCTCCAGAAGATCGCGGAGGCCGGATGTCTTGTTTTGAGGCAGCTTGGCTGCAAGATACTGCAAGATGTTGCAGGCAGAGCTTCCCTTTCTCAAGGGCATCGAGGCCTGCCCGGCACTGCCCGGACTTTCGAATGCCAGGCTGTGTCTTTCGCTGCAGGTTCTGCCCCTCAAGGAGTCTTCCACAGCCATCGCCGATTGCGAGTCGGCGGCAAAGCAGGTGCAGGAGGCCAGAGGGCAAAATACAACTCGGGAGCCATTAGTCCAGAAATTGGGTGCATAATGGCCGAGCTCCCACACAGCTCTCGCGTGCACGAAGGCCATCGACAAGGCGAAGGCCGTGCTTAGTGCACGCATTCAAGATGTTGACAAGTTCGCAGAGGCCTGCGGCGCAGCAGTTAGACAAGGGGAAGCAGAAGCAAAAAAGCACGAGACAAAGCATGAGCTGCCAGTAGAAGGCGTGTTCCCCGCGAGGTGGCCTCCAGACCGACACTGGAAAGACTGCAAACCCTCACAGAGCGCAATAACGTGACCGGCTCAGCTCTCCTCGCCCCTCAGTTGGTTGTGGCTGCTTAGGGCAAAATTGTTGCGTCCGTGTGCCCTGTATCCTGCATCTTCCGGGTTCTGAAGGCGGCAAGCGTGAAGCTGGCAGCATTCCGTCCTGCCCTCGGACACGCGTCCAACCTGTAGACTCGTGGAACTACCCTTCCGTGTCCTTAAGGCAAGGATACAGAGACTCGCAAGCGAGCTTCGCAGCTGCAGGAGGCGAGAACATCGTTGGGCACATCCCTGAAAGGGGCGCCTGTTGTCAAACGATGGCAGGCCGATGAGATCCTGAAGACCGCCGAGGAGGAGGTCGACAAAGCCCGAGAGGCATGGTAGAAAGGAGAAGACGGGGGAAAGCAAGAGGATAAAACAGAGACAGGGGGAAGGGGAGAAGAGGAGAGAAGTAGGAAGGGAAGACAGAAGAGGGAAGAGGGCAAGGCGGAAGAGGGAAGAGGGAAGAGGGAAGAGGGAATAGATGTGAAGGGAAGAGAAAGAGAAGAGGCTGATGTTTCCTGCTTCGATCGTTGCTGAGGCGGCGGCGCCTCTGGCTGCCGAGGAGCTCAGAGTTGCACCCAAAATGCCCAACAAACGAATATCGCGACGGCTGCTTCATGTTGCTTGTACAAGCAGCCGAAGCCGCAGGACCTGAGTGGGATGACGGCTGAATCTGCCACGGAGATCTGCAAGACGCTTGCCGGGCTGGAGAAGGCCCGGAATGCGGATGGCAGGAGCAAGCAGCAGAGATGCCCGATGATGCCCGCACGATGCCGATCAGGCGGCCGCAAGCCGGGTACACGAGGTCATCAACTTCCTCGCAGAGCGACGGAAGGACGGGGACACACGCACGCAGACTGACAGAGCCGAGGAGATGTGAAGCACAAGCACGAAGCCAAAGCAAGGGAGTGCAACGAAGCGCAACTCTGCACTGTTGGTAAGCACAACTGTACGTAACGACGTAAGCACATGGCCTTTCTCGCCCCCTCCTCGTTGCCGGGCACCAGGTCCGAGCCTCCGGAGGCCAAACGCCGCAAGATGCAGCTCCTCAAGAGCAGCTTGAGGCGATGCAGGTGCACACCGGCACATTTCAATTCACCTTTGCTGAAAAGAAAGAAGGAGCGACAGAGAAGCATGGGCAAGAACCCAAAGAGAGTTCCGCCCGGCCAGGCGCGGCTTGTCAAGGTCAAGGTGCATTCCGCCACTTTATTGACGTCAAGTCAGGGGGATGGAACTCGAAGTCCTCTCGGGCGCAAGCTAAAAAGAGCCGCAGGAGAAGTTCATAGAAGTTCGAATGCAGAATTGCCGGAATGCAGAACCCCATGCCAGGCCAAGCTGGCCGAGTCCAAGAAGACCACTTCGCTGCTGGAGAGAGCATGAGGGTAGATTTGGATACAGTTTGGGTGGTTTGGCCACCTCGAAGCACTTTCGCGTCTCCGTGCGAGTTGAGGAACATTTTTTGGGGGTTGGGCTGTAGCATCCGGATGCCTTTCAATTGCAGCCAGGCAGGAGTGGAACAAATGAGGTACCTTCGATTTCTAAATTAATGCCTGGTATCTTTGGATTACTGTTCAGCGGGGCTCTAGATGCTTTAGGCGGTCGAGCGTTCCGCGGCTTGTTGGGCCGTCTTGGGTTCAACCATTTTTTTTGGGGGGCGGTTTTTGAAATTTGGTCTCTGCCAGGAGCAGCGCTTCGTCTCGAGGAAGCTGCTTGACGAGGCGGTTTCGAGAGGATGCTTTTGCAAGACCTGCGCGTAGGGCGTAGGGCGTAGGGCGTAGGGCGTAGGGCGTGGGTGAGACTAAATGTCTACACTGCCAAGATGTGCTGAGTTCAGGGCTTACAGAGTTCTCGCGCTGCCTTGAGGCGTCTGGCATGATGAGCGAGGCCAGCTCTTCTGTAGCCTCGTAGACATGAAGATGTGGGTTTTCCTGACATGCCCAGTGCGCCATCTACTTGAGCCCTCATCCTGTGGAGGTTGATGCGGAAGTCCAGAAGGTGGAGGCGCCCTCATCCCCTCATCCCAAGAAATTTCAGCGCCCTCTCTCTGCAGAAGAGCGGCGCTTCGAGGCAGCCGCGGCGCCGCTCCTGGATAGCTCCAGCTTCCTGGTGCGCCTGAGCGTGCAACGGCTTTCCACGGCAGTGCAGGAGCTGAGAGTAGCGGGCACTTGGCACCACATTTTTCTTGTAGAAACATGGCTTCCAAGATACAAACTCACACACGAGAATGTGCTCTGCTGAGTTGCTTGTAGGGGGAGGTGGCTGGGGCTGGGGTGCGGATGTTTCGGCTTCTAGGAAGCAACGCGTTTGGAGTCGGGGACTTCAGGGTATTCAAAAAGGTGACCTGATGTCAGATGTCTCAGGCTGATTCAGGCTGGCGTAGCTGGGTGAATGAGAGACTTTGAGGACCTGATCAGCAAAGGCCACACGAAACAGGCGCTTTTCACCCAGGCGGGAGCCAAGTCCATTTGCGGGATGGGGCTTCCTGACCCTTCCTGGCCAGGCTTGCGGCGAAGGAGGCAGCAAGGTCAGCATGGATCAGTTCAAGGCCTGGCCAATGCGCCGAAGGCGCCGAAGGCTCGGAGATGTTGCAGCTTCCCAGGCCTTCATCGCATGGCTGGCCGAGTCTGAGACCGCTGAAGATGTCGTGTCTGCAGCTTAGAGGGATGAAGCGATGAGGGATGCGCAGCCGCCCTCACGCGCTCATGAAACGGCAGACGGGGTCAAGCTTTCTGGGTTGCCGAGGTTCCTGAACTCCCAACTGGAAGCTGGCAGCCCAGCGCCGCTTCGTTGGGTAACCCCCCCCCCCCCCCCCCCCACGTGCGCGGAAACGGGTTTGTTGGGCTCAGGCCATGTTCAAGCAGCTCGACGCTGACAGCAGCGGGGACTTGAGCGAGCAGGAGTTTCAGGAGATACCCGTCACAGGGAAAACACATCAGAATCCGGTCGTGGTATCTAATCCGGGCATGATCCCGAGACTACCGGCATGTCGGTGTCAGGACATTTTCTCGGAATACTTCGTCTGCGTCCGGAACCCAGCGCTGCTACGGCTGTATTGCTGGGAGATGGCTGATGTGGTCTTACGTCAGGTGCAGCCCATCTCCATGACGGACGGGATGTCCATCAGCAACGGGAAGAGCGTCTCGAAGCTGGATGTGGGTATGGTGGTCGAAGCGCTGGAGATGTCGGATCCCCAAAGCTGTCGTTTCCACTTCTCAAGTTTCGGCGGTTTGCTGTGCGATGGCATACGCTCAAGGCCGCAGTTCGACGAGACGCAGAAGCTGACCCGGCTACGGTGCCGGGTGGTCGAGGACTCCGCCAAGGAGGGCTGGGTGACCATGAAGGGCAACCAAGGCCCATGCTGCGCTGGCGATTTTGGACTTCTTGCACTCGCCCACTATATGTTAAATATACTTAATGTTATCTGTTATATGCTATATACGACTATATTTTCAATTATATATGATGTACTATGGCAATAATATCCCCACGGCTTTACGAGTCGTCTCTGTGCCACCAGGCAAAGTGTACCTTAGCCGCCAGACACCGCACAGCATCGCCCTCAAGTCCTTTGCGAGGACCACGCTTTGTGCTGCTGCTATTTCAAGCTTTTTTGCAGCCACTTAATCGACCTAGTCCCTCCATGGTTTCAGCTTGCCTTTCCTTTTTCAGTCGCTTCCGCATGCCAGGATTTGGAATGCGATAGGGAAGCAGCTGGAGAAGGCCCGCTGCATCTCCGTGTGGGAAAAAGGAGAACTCGTCCGTTGAGCCAGGTTGAGGTACGGTGGGAAGCTCCAACTGGGTGTCTTCTTCTGTCTTGTCGGTGTAGGTGATTAGTGTTTGTGGCTCTGGCTTTTTGGCCTTTTTGCTCTTAGTTGTTCCGGTGTTGCTTCTGCACGGAATCCTGGCTTCTCTGATGTCAGCCCCACTTCTTCTCGCTCGCTTCTAGTCCCTGACACGTCCCTGATGGCCCCAAGAATGCAGGTCAGTTCTCACATCGCCCTCAAGAGGAAGGACATCGCCTCCTGTGTGTCAGGACCCCTGGCCGAGGCCAGGGACTTGCAGCGAAGCACTTGTATTGACAGTTGCTCATGGGGAGGCGATGCAGGAGGTACCAGACTTGCCATATATCATATATCTCAATCTTGTAGCTGCTATTGCAATTGTGTCAGGGAGCAGCCAAAAGCCTAAGCCCTGCAAAACCCTCAAGCTCCTTCGGCAGGCCAGGGGAGAGTTGGACCAGCTGAAAGCGAAGGTGCCCAAAGAGGGCCTCGAGGGGTTCTGAGGTGGGCTAGTGACATGTCTTCCGGTGGCAGGTCAATGCCTACAACAAGCGGCTGAATGAGCTCAAGCGGAAAGTGGAGCAAGCAAAGAAAGACTACGAGAAGAGCCTTCGGCTGCAAATGTGGTGAGCAGGAGGCTCCCCCCCCCCACTGTCTCTTCAACTTTTCAACTTCCATAGGGCCCGAACCCCAAAACATCCTCAGCCCCGAAACCCAAAACCCAGAACCCAAATTCCAAAACCCTAAGCCCTAAACATCCCTAAACCCCTAAAAACCCTAAAACCCCTAAAACTCTAAAAACCCTAAAACCCCATAAAACCCAAAAACAGAACCCTCCCAAATTAAATACCCAAAACCCTGAGCGCCCCTTGTCGGACTCAGGAGCGCCGAGGAGGACAAGAAGGCCCGTGCCGATGCCCGCGAGCAGAAGCTCCTTGCCGCGGTCACCAAGGCGACAGGGGCT